AAAGCAAATGTGGAGACTTTTGAACTTTTGAGAATCGAGTTTATTAAAGTCCTTAGAGGTGAATTCATTGTTTCAAACGCCTATCTTTCAAATTTTGGCGTAATCACCTAAATTCAAGAAAAATAGCCACATATACCCTCGAACCAAAGAGCCTAACAATTGAAAGCCACAAAGCCCCAATGATCCCAATAGCTTAATGTTCGATATTAGTAGAGTAGAATAATTTAGTGAGTATTTGGAGTCAAGCATATGCATGTAAGTATAAATTCTTTCTATCTTTAATTTGCAAATATTGGATGCTTGAAGCAATTGTATGAATTGTGGTTTTTGGTAATGGTGAGTGACTAAGTGTTATTGAATTTTGAGCTTGCGAACGCCTAAGAATTGTCATTATAATTACAAGTTCTGAAAACGTGAAGTTGATCATTGATCTATGTGATGAGATGTTATCGTTGAGTTATTTGCTTATTGGAAGATTTTGCTTGAGGACAAGCAAAAGTTCAAGTTTGGGGGTGTGTTAAGTGTATATTTTTACACTTTATCGTACCTTTTTATTTGAGCTTTTGGTGTGTTTTAATGATAATTGGTGCTTAAAAAGTTGATTTATTGTATTTTAGGTACAAATTGAAGAATTGGAAAAGTATGGGGTCAAAACTGCAATTTTGGAGAAAATATGGGCCAAAAGTGAAAAAATCAAAATTCTGAAGATGTAAAGCTCGGAACCCCGTCCCAGTTTTAGTTCAAACTGTGGGACCCCCGTCCGAGACTCCGAAGTTGCGCAGTAAAGGGATTTTAATTGCACAAGGAAACTGCCTTCTTCCCCAAGTTCTTCACCCTATATAAGACCAATCCAAGCACACAATTGAGGACCCTTTTTTTACGCAATTTCAAGAGCAACAAAGCAATAACGAAGATGAAGAATTCGAAGACTCTAAGCATAGATTTATCGTTTATGACTTATTTTATTTGCGTTTTTCCTTTAATCATGCGTAGCTAAATTTCTTATTTCTAGGATTTTATTTGGAACCCTATGTGGGATTTATGAACCCTTTTCTATGATTTTATGCAAGTTTTAATTCCGGATTATTTCTTCTACTTGTTTTATTAAGTGCATGAACTTGATCAACTTATGTGCTTTTATGTTATTGTTAATCGCATGAATCGGAAGATCGGGTTAATAATTAGAACGGTGGTAGAAGAGCCTTTGTGGTATTAACATAGGAATATAGTTAATCTCTTAGGTAGCCATTATTGAGATTTGTGCTTAATGCTATGTTCTAGAATTAATTGCGTAGGAATACAATAATTGAATCTAGGGTATTAGAATCGTAATACACGCGGAAGCGGGTTATGATTAATTTAGCATCTCAGGTTAATAATCCGGGTTAATTACTTGCATAATTGAAGGAATTGGGGGAGTAATAATCACATAGGGGGAAGAATAAAATCCTAGGCTTGTCTACTTTGATTAAATCTTCGTTTTAAATTGCTTTCTTGTTTTCGCTTGCTTTTTAATTTAGTTTAATTTAGTTAATTCTCTCCAAAGTCGACTGTGTAGGGTGGGCTTGATAATAATTCGTAGAATTTAGCGTCTAGGTTTAGATAATTAAATATTCCCTGTGGGTTCGATATCCGGACTTAATTGTCCACTATATTACTTGTACGATACGTGCACTTGCGTGTAGGTTTTCGGCCAACAGATACATGTCAAATGATTCAACAATGTCTATATCAAGGGGTTACAAATAAATCAAAATTCTTGAACACTTCATCTAAAAGCCTTACGAGTTGGAACTCAATTATGAGAAGACTGATTTTGATGGATCAGAAAGTAAGTATACAAGCCTAGCTCATTTACCTATTATATTGTTTCAACACTTAAGAAACTAAAGACTCCAAAATTGTTTTTGCAATGGATTCAGCGAAGACCTTTAATATTTTGACGATCGTTTCACCTTTGTTAAGACTTACATAATCTCTCACGGAATTCTTTGAAACATCAATCCCTATGTATTATCGATACCATAAAAAACAATATATATATATATATATATATGGGGCAAATACTGATCAATCCCTAAACCCAAACATAAAGTGCGGGTCAGTCCCTAACAACATTTTTTAAGTGTATTGGACCCTAAATGAAACATAAATATGCACTTAACTCCCTAACTGGTGTGCAAAGACCGAAAAACCCTTCACTTTATTTTGAAATTACCTGCAAATTCTGACAAAACTTTTCACCTACTTTTTCACGCGCCGGTTGAGAATCACGCTGCATACCTTTTTAACTATCCATTGTCATTCAATTTTCGAACCATTTCCTCAGCGGTTTCTAGCAGTTTTTCTTCGTGCAAGCGATTCTTCAGGTTTTTCGGTTTTTGTTTGCTTGTATAAATGACCACAACAAGGCCGAAATTAGACTGGAAACTAAAGTAATAATTTTCGAAGTAGAAGAATGGTGAAGACAAAGAAGGGGAAGGAGAAGCAAGGTTTTTTTTTTTTTTTTTTTTTTTCAGGAATCGATAATGAAATTTGTTGTTGTTTTTTTGCTTAGGTTAGCAAAAAACAAACTGCATGTTCTCATATTGAATGATTTTGAACATTTCCAGTAGTGAGTAGTATCCAACGGCGAGATTGGGGTTTTCTCAAATAAAAAAATCGAACAACTGGTTCCGATAAAATGTTGTTTTCTTGTTTATGCTTGCAAAAAATGTTCATTTTCTGTTGAATTGCATGATTTTGAACACTTTCGCTTTTGGGTATCATTCGTCTGAAATATTAATATTTCCCCAAATCACTTTTGGTCATAACAAGGGTTTGATTTTGGGCATCAGATGTGTTTAAATAATATAAGTCTGATCTTACTAGACAACGATAGTGCTATTGTAGTTAGAAGGTATAAAAAAGGTAATGGCGTTTCTTCTGATGTAATTAAATAGTATATGTAGTATTGCCTAATAGTATAGGTAATGTAGGTGTATGGTATTGATACAATATAGTGAAGGTATAATTACAATAACTACATAGTACCATTATTATCTTACAATTGTATTTTTTCATTATTGTTTTTCCTTTATAATCGTAATACACTTGCAGATGATGACGCCCAACAAGCTTGCAGGTGCTCTCCTAGCGCCTTCAAAGAACAAATGGACATAATTAAACCTATGATGACGGCCAGACACTTTGCTGCCTTGGAGGACAATCCTTTCGGGCATTTCTTAAACATGCCTAAGATATACCATAGTTTCTTAAAGGTGTCTGTTCTGTTGAAGAAGACATACAACGTGGAGGAACGTACGTTCTGGTTTGGAGGTAAAACTATCCCTTTCGTCTTTGATCCTAGGGAGTTCTGCATCATGATGGGATTACAGTTTAAGGGGGTACCCATCGATAAAAGCCTGGAAATAGAAACTTCTTTCATTAGACGTGTTTTTGGGGGTAAATTGACCCAAGTAAAGCGTCATCAAATTGCTGAAAAATTGGAAGAGTATGATGTTAGGACCGACCAACAACCAATTGAGGATTTTTGTAGGTTGTACATTATTTTCGCTTGCAATACTTTCTTATTGCCAAAGGGAAACTTTCAACTGCCGAGGTACGTTTATCCACATGTTGACAAATTGGAGCGCGTAGGAGATTTTGCGTGGGGAAAGTTGGTATATGATGTGCTCCTTGAAAATATTGAGGCACACTTTGCTGGGGCAGGAGGGTATTTCGATGGTTGCACCATTGGATTGTTGGCATGGGTGAGTGAAATGATCACTTCTTTGGGGTTCGCAATAAGCGTTTTCGAATACCCGAGATTTTTCCGATGGTCCGACTCCAAAATACCAGCCGATGAACGTCAGGCTAAACATCTTTTTAGAGAACTTACACCAGACAAGGTAAGAATT